TCATAGTTGCGAACACATATAAACTGTTAAGGGACCTAGTACAAACTGACAATAAAATTATGAGGTAGCACAATGTTATCTTAGATTACTTGTCTTGCAGAAGTCTCTCTTATTTCAAGGCAGTACCAACCCACTACGGTGGACAACCTTATATCTTTAATTATTTTTTGTTTAAGTACCCTTTTTCTCCTAACTAAATGTTCTTCAAGAGGGTTAAATTTGTGAATATTAGGTTTATTAAAACAAATAAAATAAAATGAAATAAGTAGCCGAGAAGAAGAAGAACATGAACAAAAGGAAAAAAGAGAGGAAAAAAATGGGATTAAGGGGATGGGGTAGAGGCAACAAGTAGGAAGAATGGAAAGATATTATTCTGTTCATCCAAAATATCTTCCTTTCTTACTCCTAATGTGCGGTGTTTGTATGAGAACAAAACATTATTAAGGGGAGTCAGAAGGATCCCTGTTATGCGTGGACCTCTGTTTTATCACACCATTTAAATTTTTTGTCCTACATGTGTGTGCTCAGTGGCAACTCTATGAACAATATATAGTGGGCACATAAGGGTATGGCACTAATAACTTTTACTAGGGTGTGCATATATGTGCCGCCACTGGCTGTCCAACAGCAGCATGCTGTGTATGTTGGCATCCGACAACAAATTTGTACAGAATTCACCAGGAATTCAGGTTATGGTCTGGCCAATGACACCTCTTAAGTTTGATCTTGGTTGAGCAGATAATTCCCCTATCGTCTATCTTTTTGGGGATTTCTAAGGACACCAAATAAAGGAGCTATCTGCTAAACAGCACTTTAATTTGGCATCCTTAAAGGAACACTATAGTGTTAGGAGTACAAACATGTATTCCTAAAACTATAGTTTTAAACTATCTATAAGGATCCACGGCCCTACTCAGAGTGGAGAAATAAGGTAGACCCACACAAAACACACATACAATTACAGACACAAAATTACTGGCATGCGCACACACACAAATCATATTCATACATATTTATTTTATAATTTAGAGCTCCACCCTGCCTTCCTACCTTGCTTTGGGAAGGCTGGATTAGACCCTCTCCCCGGTGGCCAGTAGTTGGCCCTGGGAACACTGTACTATTCCTGCACAGGTTCCTCATGCGCACTCAAGTGATGCTAATGCCGAGGTGACATAATATCCTGTCTTCCGGTTCACTGCAGGTCATGTAAGGGAGCTGTGCAAGAAGAGCACAGTAAGTACAGGGCTCTCTGCTTCACTTACCACCTGGACTCAGACATATAGTGGCGGAGGAGGCACCTACTGTGGGTTCAGTTTAGTTAGTGTCAGGTGCTCAAGGTGGAGGAACACACAGGGGGGGCACTCTTTCCCCCCCTCCCCTTGCTCCACTGTAGCCACGCCATAGTGTGAGGGACAATGAGCTCAAATCCACCCGTCTCCCTTCTATCCTAAAGTCCATTATTTTCTAGTAGTTTCATATTGTTGGTGTGTCTGAATGTGTAACAGAGCATCACCGCAATAATACTCCCAGTAATGTGTCTTTAAACTACAGTAAATGTGTACACAGTCTGAGTCTGTGTAAATAAGATACATTATTAGTCACCTACAATTTCAGACCTTCATTGGCGACTCCCCCACTCACATCCCTAAAATGTGTTTGTCTGCTTGAAATGTTGGAAGGTATGGTTTCAGGAAAGCCCCCAAATCCCCCTGAGGTTTGTGAAATCTGTGATACCAAGCCAAATATTACAAAATCTTGTAAATCCTCCCCTTAAGGACGATGGGCGTTCTATGCAGTCCTTAAGGAACCGTGCCTAAATGCCGGAAGGCGGCATAGAACATCCCCGCCATTCCCTCGCCGACAATCGGCGTTCCTCCCGGTCTGGGGGGACTGTCTTACAGCCCAGACAGTCCCCCTCCAAAAGAGCAGTCACATGGCACAATTCTAGTGTAGCATTAGACATGTAACGCATGTGAAACTAATTCTATCATACACTGTAAATACCTGAACAGAGTCATCATGTCTTGTCATATGTTTATACTTGAAAAGTTTACCACTGTTATGACATATTAGCCTAGCCTGATTTCCTCCTTAATTACAAAAATGTGCTATACCCTCATGTTGCCACACAACGTAGTATTTACGGAAGCGTCTGAATATCTTATGCAACCTGGTTTTTTTTCTGTAATCTAAAATGTTTGTAATCGCGAGTGTTACTGTATTTTTCATGCACGGCAAAATATTTTTTTTAAATTGCCACCCAAAATAAAGATCTCTTTGTAGACAGAAAGGGGATAGAACATTAACTCAATACTATTGTTCCTACTAAGTCCATGCAGAGTGGGTCTCTATTAAAGGCAAGACTTGTAAAATGACTAATGCTGGTGAGACCTTCCTAAGACATACCTAAAGTCCCTACATATCAGATGCTTTTTCTGTTCAGAGGGGGTAAGGTTTACACATCAGTGTTTGCTGGCAGTGCCTACGAGTCACTCTGTTTGTTGGTTATTTCAAATATACTAATATTACCCACAATCGATATGACCAGTAGAGATTCTACTCAAGTAAAGAAAGTAACAGCCCCAATTGATAAGTACAACATGCAGATCAATATATCACTATCGAAAACATAAAACATGTGTCCATATCTCAAAAATTTCTTATACACAGACGAAATAACATCACGGAACTAAAAGCAACACATTAACATACGACTTGGCATAATGATACAAATACACCCTAAGATAATAACCTAGAGAAACCAGAAAATGGCAAGCTGTAGTCTAGATTAACATGGAAATGTAATAACATGCATTATTATATAATAAGAGGAAGCACTATGATAAGACCCGTGATAATATTATAATGGAACAGGGGAATATGGAACACATAAACGCAAGACTCCCCTAGCAAGGAAAGAGTAAAGTTTATAAAAATGCTGATTTTTCTCCGTCTGTCTAACCTCACCTTCAAACAAACTCTAAATTATGCATTTGAAAATAAGTGCAGAAACACTGCCTTTTATTACAAAACTACGGTGGAGACGGGGAGATCGGCCAAGATTTCTAAAACCTACCCTGTTTAATAACAGAAAATATTTCCTCCAAAGCCCTCCCTCCCTTTAATCTGTATTGCTTGATTTTGGCTGTGTTTTATTTTATTTTTTATTTTTCATTTTCTCAGAACATCAGTCTGAATATTATTAATCCTGTACTACCACATTACGCGTGAATTATTCACTCCTAGAATGGGAGATGGGAGAGAGCGGGGAGCGAAAGAAGGTTTTGTTTTTATTTAGAATGCAATATATAAAAAAAAATACATAAAAAATAAGTGACAGACTGCTCAGGATATTTTACTGTTTATGTTTTAACCTTTTAAGTAGATATTGCCTTTTTGTTTTTTCATTAGCTCTTTTAGTACTGCTCTGCTACAATAAATTATTAACATGTGACCCAATGGCAGCCAGGTCTTCTGTTCCTCCTTCATAATTTTATGTTGGATGAACACTATTTTCCTGGATGAATTTAGATAGCATAGGTTTAAAATTTAGATTTTATTTTCTATATACCGCTTCCTTCACTTCTCTCTGTGTATTTATCCCTGGTTCTTTTAGATTGCTTCATATAGATAATTAGCCAGTCACATGTAACATACGTCCCCTAATTAACAACCCACGTATGGACACACACTAACGTACATACACAGACAGGATAGTAGACATGGTGACATTTAGATGGGCGTATGTGTATAATTAAAATATACCAGCAGCATTTAATGTTGTATTTTTATATGGTATATGTCATGGTTTGAAAAAATGATTTATTTTTTTATGAAAAAAATTCCACTTAGCAAGTTTCTGATGAGAAGACAGGGAGGTCGTACAATGTATGAATAGGACAAAAGGAAGCAGAAAGTAGAATGGCAATATATGGTTATATGTGGGTAATAGGGGCATTTAATTTTAGGGAGTCATATAATAAAACAATACTGAGGGTGCAGGTCACCAACAATAAAATATCAGAGAGTAGGTTTTAGCTGACGCAAGGTAAGGAAGATCCAGACCGTGACACATTAAATCTCTGGTTGGAAGGAAATCGGAGTGATGCTGTTTTTGCTTGCTTTGTAGCTATTGGTTTCTAGTGCTGCGGTCTAAGGATACACTAATTATATAAACAGATAATATGAGAACAGACAAAAGCTTAGAGAAACTCGATAGCTTGGCCTTTGGTAAATCTCCACGCAGGTCTCAAAATAGTTTTATTCTTACTTCCGCCATTACGGGGAGAAACGTTACCATTTGCTTATTAGACTGATCCTGCCCACAAGGGCAGTCCAGAACCGAAACACCGTTAAGTTCTCTCTGCACGAGAGATACAGCAACCCCGGACGATTATTTCGGCCTTCTTTGGGCCTCATTAGCGAGGTGTAGCTGATACCCCTTTAGGCACAGTGTCCACATCTGGATTGCCCTTTTAACTTGGGGAGAGCTAAGTTTATGCATTGTAACAAAAACAGAGAATATGGGAATTCTGAGACAAAACCTCCTTAGAAAGCCTCCATAGCTTGCATCCATAGCCTGCCTCCTTAGAGAGCCTCCATAGCTTGCATCCACAGCTTGCCTCCTTAGAAAGCCTCCATAGCTTGCATCCACAGCTTGCCTCCTTAGAGAGCCTCCTAGCTTGCATAGCTTGCCTCCTTAGAGAGCCTCCATAGCTTGCATCCACAGCTTGCCTCCTTAGAAAGCCTCCATAGCTTGCATCCACAGCTTGCCTCCTTAGAGAGCCTCCATAGCTTGCATCCATAGCTTAGAGAGCCTCCATGGATGAACCCTCTTTTCCTGGATGAATGTAGATAGTATAGCTTTAAAATGTATATTTTATTTTCTATACACCGCTGCCTTCACTTCTCTCTGTGTATTTTCCCTGGTTCTTTTAGATTGCTCCATATAGCTTGCTTTCTTAGAGAGCCTCCATAGCTTGCATCCACAGCGTGCCTCCTTAGAGAGCCTCCATAGCTTGCCTCTTTAGAGAGCCTCCATAGCTTGCATCCATAGCTTGCCTCCTTAGAGAGCTTGCATCCATAGCTTGCCATCCATAGCTTGCCTTCTTAGAGAGCCCTTCATAGCTTACATCCACAGCTTGCCTCCTTAGAAAGCCTCCATAGCTTGCATCCATAGCTTGCCTCCTTAGAGAGCCTCCATAGCTTGCATCCATAGCTTGCCTCCTTAGAGAGCCTCCATAGCTTGCATCCATAGCTTGCCTCCTTAGAAAGTCTCCATAGCTTGCATCCATAGCTTGCCTCCTTAGAGAGCCTCCATAGCTTGCGTCCATAGCTTGCCTCCTTAGAAAGTCTCCATAGCTTGCATCCATAGCTTGCCTCCTTAGAGAGCCTCCATAGCTTGCGTCCATAGCTTGCCTCCTTAGAAAGTCTCCATAGCTTGCATCCATAGCTTGCCTCCTTAGAGAGCCTCCATAGCTTGCGTCCATAGCTTGCCTCCTTAGAAAGTCTCCATAGCTTGCATCCATAGCTTGCCTCCTTAGAGAGCCTCCATAGCTTGCGTCCATAGCTTGCCTCCTTAGAAAGTCTCCATAGCTTGCATCCATAGCTTGCCTCCTTAGAAAGTCTCCATAGCTTGCATCCATAGCTTGCCTCCTTATAGAGCCTCCATAGTTTGCTTTCTTGTATCATTATAATATAATACTAATGTGAGAAAGCAATGGGTGATGAAAGAGAATACAGAGGGACACATTGTCATCTGTTAATAGGTGGCACCTCAACAACACAAAACATGTAGATGGCAATCAGGACATATTCTTTCAAGCACACTCAGTTCTTGGAATGAAATGTATTCTGTATAAAGATATTCACACCATTCCTGAAACCTGAGCAAAGCACGCTAATAGAATTCATTGCTGTATCGTCTGCCTGTGGGTTAAACTAATTTCAATGAGCCGTTTACCCCAATAGACTGTATACTATTCTTTGAGGCACTCCCATTAAGGCATCATTGCATTGCTTCCCAAGCTTGCCAATCCAACATAATTTAAAATGCCATTATATATTTTTTTGTACTTAATTGGAAATTTTGGTGGGGTTTCTCATTACCAGCACCCGAAAGACAGATGAGTGCCAGCATTTGTTTAAATTGTGTTAATATATAATGCCAGACTGACAAATTACATTTGTAATATGACTAGCAAAATAGTCTCAAAGCTTTCTGAATCAGTGGCCTAGTTCATTGCAGTTGGAGGTCTCTTCCCTGTATCCCATGTCCAAGTTGAGTTAGAGCGACCATAACCCTAGGTAATTTAAAGGGACACTGCAGGCACCCAGACCACTTCTGCCCATTGGAGTGGTCTGGGTGCCAACTCCCACTATCCTTAACCCTGCAACTGTAATTATTGCAGTTTTCATAAACTGCAATAATTACCTTGCATGGTTAATTCCACCTCTAGTGGCTGCCTACTAGACAGCCACTAGAGGGCACTTCCGTGTTTATAGCACACATTCCGTGTGCTATAGCGTCGCTGGACGTCCTCACGCTATGTAAGGACCTCCAGCATCGCTGAAATCCCCATAGGAAAGCATTGAAAGCTATGAGGTGTAATGCGTGTGCACATGTGCAATAGGTCTTCCCCACCAGATGACGTCGGCGGGGGAGGAGCGTGGGCGGACCCTGACCCAGAACCGAGGGACATTGGCGCTGGATACAGGTAAATCACTGAAGGGGTTTTAACCCCTTCAGCAACCGGGGATGGGAGGTGAAGGGAGAGGGGACCTGCAGTGCCAGGAAAACGGATTGTTTTCCTGGCACTGGAGAGTCCCTTTAACATGGTCTGATTGTTTCCATTCCTGGACACCCTGTAAGAACTCAGCATTGGTCAAAGTAGGGTAAGGTCAGAGGGCACAGAGTCCAGACAGGTTGGGGTATAGATCCTGAGCACTGTGCTGGCCCAACTTATATAGTTACATAACAATATAGACTGGAAAAAAAAAGACTCAAGTCCATCAAGTTAAGCCTTTTTATTTATCTTTATCACTGCTGCTTATCCAAAGACCCCCAAAAAGGCAAAATACTCCATAAAAACAATTTGAAGTGAGTTTAAATTTCTGCAAAAGTCTTCCTGGATTCCAAAATAGCAGTAACATTTACCCCATATATTGTGCCCTATTAAAGGACCACTATAGTGTCAGGAAAACAAACTAATTTTCCTGGCACTATATACTCCTTAGGTTCCCCCCTCACCCTCAGGGTCCCCCTTTAGCCACTTACCTTTATCCAGCACCAGACTTCCTCGGCACTGGTGACCTCTCCTCCCCCTCCGACGTCAGCTCCCGAGTGAAGCCGAATGCGCATGCGAATTAAAAACGCCCATAGGAAAGCATTTCTCAATGCTTTCCTATGGACGTCCTGCGTGCTCAATGCGATTTTTGGGCACGGGCACGGGCCACATAAACAAAGCTTAAGTTTATCTGGGCCGCAAAAAAAAAAAACTACTTAAATTTTCATAAAAACTTATTTTTTTTATACTTTAAGGTTGTTTATAACAGATAGTTCAGATATTGAGTAATGGCTGAATGATTGATTTCACTATATTACACTCTTACACCCATACTGATACCCAAACTGATTAAATGACCAGTTATACATGGACAACTAAGGATGCAGGGGAACAAATGTAGCTCTGAATCAGTTTTTATTCCTTGTATTTGTTGTCTCTTAAAACACCAATCATGTCTTTTTTTTTTTACTAACAGGAGAATTCAAAGGGAATTTCAAATCGAAGGTCAAAGTAACCAAACTGACAGCAAAGTTGACATAGAGAATTGTTCCGGTTCAGCTATTTTGACAATACATTTTAATTTCTCTTTGAATTCTCTTTAAATTCTCTCTTTAGTGCGTAACTCTGACAGTCATGGATATTAAAGGGACACTATAGTCACCATAACCACTACTGCTTAATTTAGTGGTTCTGGTGTCTATAGCCTGTCCCTGCAATCACTCAGACTGCAACTGGTGGTAATTCCTAGTTCAGTGCTGCCCTGTGTGAAGCACTCGTGTTGATTCAATGCATCTCTTTGAAGAGATTGGCTGTGATCATCCAGATTGATGATCTCAACCATGGAGGTGGGACCAGCCGCAGCGAGACCGAAGCAGTGATGTAGAAAAAGTAAGTAAAATAAATGTACTTACGGGGGCCGTTAACCTAAATATTTATTATTGCACTACAGTATTAGGAAAACATGTTTGTATTGCTAACAGTATAGTGTTCCCTTTAAAACATACCCCATTTGGATACATGTTATTTAGCACTGCTTACCCATTCTTCTAATTCTAACTGGTGTCCAAGGGTAAAAGCTTGATGTTGTTTACACTATATATTCCTGTAAAAAATAAAATGTGCTCATTATTTTTTTCTGCTCAATTTATGTTAATCAGCATTTCTCATTCACTCTCTGCGCAGAGTCCTCTGCTACCCCACACATCGTCCAGCCTCTTTCTATCATCCAGGACAACCTCTTAGCTCTCAGCCAAGTTCATTGCCTTCTTCTTACCCCCATATGCTTTATCCGTCTCTTTCCCTCTTCCATTCCCTAGTTCCCCTACTTTCCACCGGTGTATCTCACCTCTTACATATTCTGCTCCCCACTTTTACTTTTACTGAAATACCCTTTCGTTCGATTCTGTTTTTGCTCATATTCCCCCTAACGTTCTTGTCCAAAACCTGTGCTTTTTCATATTTCCTTTCTCTCATCTTCATTCTCTCTCCCTCCATCCCTTGTTTCTTCCAGTCCGTGGGATGCTCCTGCTGACTTCACATTTGCTGCGGTGTGAATTTCACATCTGTGAGCAGTGACAGCAGAGATTAATCACTACCCCCCTTCACTCCCCCCAAACAGGAGAATAAATAAATATAAACATACAAGCCTTTAAATAAAGCCCGGATGTGCATCTTAAAAGACCAGACACATCTGACTGCCAACAGCGTACCTGTGCGCCAGCTTACTCGGGCTATAGAATTTATACACCATTAACCCCTTTGCAGCATCAATGCGCCAGTTAGTAAAAGTGGGATTCATATTCCCTATAGGATTTATTTACCACACAGTGGGTAATGCTGAACTGAAAATGTGATTGTAATATTTAGACTTTGTCAAAAAAATTAAATAAGTAAAATAACTGAATTGGAGTAAAATTTCCAGCCTGTCGAATCTGGCCTAATTTTTGCAATTCGGTTTTCAGTGTGTCTATATTCACTGTTTAGCGATGCACACCTCATTTTTTTTTCAAACTAGTGATATCATATGTCCTTAAACTTTTTAGAAAAGCATTTGGGATTGTTTGCTTTTGCAACCACTGTATTACAACTCAGCACTTTCTATGTTACGTAAATGTGCATATGAATCATGGCTTTGCCTTCCCTCGAGGAGCATTCACGGAATTTGGCAAGGCAAGCTACCTTTTTCCTGCTTCTCTAGCCCATAGCGCCACCTGTGGCGAGGTGGGGGGATATGACAATGCTGTGTACCAAACTTGACCCATAAAAAGAAGGCAGATATGAGGGAAGTGTCCAGTGATGTGAGTGCATCGTAAAGGGCACAAATCCAAAACTCTTTCCCTATGTGGGACCTTTCCCTGAGAAAGCATGACAATCAGACTTTTCTGTGCTCCTTCCTTGCTGCCTGTTTTGCTTGTTGTTAAAAAACTATAACGTTCGAGTAAAAACATGTATGCCTCACTATAGGTCCTTCCCCCTACCCCCACTTTGTGAGAGTGTATGAAAGGTATTACATAGCTTTTAGCCCTGCCACACTGGTCTCCACATTCTGGCTCCGCCTCTTTGGCTGAGATCATCCGTGTAGAACAGGGGTTCCCAACCCAGTCCTCAAGTACCCCCTACCAGTCTAGGATTTAGGGATTACCCTGTTGTGTCTAAAGTTTTTTTTTTTCTTTCTAAAAACACTTAAGACATAACTGGGTAATCCCTAAATCCTAGACTCTTAGGGGTACTTGAGGACTGGGTTGAGAACCACTGGTGTAGATGATCTCATCCAATCCAATGTTCTGGGGAAGCTAGTGCGCATGAGTGAAAAATGCAGAGTTGCACCAATCAAATGGTCTCATCTTAATTAATAACAGAGTTTACCTTGACTATTGGGCTGGAAGCACCTCTTGTGACTGTTGGGAAGACCTCCACTAAAAGGCGTGTTAACCCTGAAATGTAAACATTGCCATTCCCGTGGAACCTTCATCTTAAGTGTATTGACCTCTGTCCAACTACGCCATGGGATCACACTCATACCACATTTTAGTAAAGCTGCCAATCCGCTTTCAGGTAGCCCCATCACCTTTATATGTCTCCCAGTTAGTGTTGTCTCCGCAAGGGTGTACTAGACCCCACATACACAGTGAGTGGATTGTGCATAAATTAGGGCTAATGAATAGTTACATAATAACCATAATTGCTCCTAGAGGGCCAGATCGTTTCCAAGTATTCATATGCAGAGAAGAAAAGATATGCTTTGTTCCATGAATTATGAGAAAGCTGGTTACTTGAATGTTCTAGACTTCTAATGTCCAATCATGGCTTGCCACCTGTTGTTTTTCCCATAATTCTCTGCTAGCTATTAGGAAATTTAG